GAACATTGTCTGGGCTGCGTGAATGTAATTGCTGCAGAAAACATGGCTAGAAAGTGGGCCATGGGGGTGTATGTGTATGGCAAGCCGTTTTAACATTTAATCTATAAACCGCACTAGTATCTAATTTAAAGTTACTAGTACTTATTTTTTACATACTAGTATCTTTTCCATTAAGTACTAGTACTTATTCATTAACTACTAGTCCTTATTCTTTAGGTGCTAGTGTGTTTTGTGAAGTTACTAGTACTTTTTCATTAGATACTAGTACTTAATCATTAGATACTAGTACTTATTCATTAGATACTAGTGCTTATTTATTAGGTACTAGTACTTATTCATTAGATAATAGTACTTATTTATTAGGTACTAGTACTTATTCATACTTATTCATTAGATACTAGTACTTATTTATTAGGTACTAGTACTTATTGATTAAATACTAGTACTTATTTATTAGATTCTAGTACTTATTTATTAGATACTAGTTTTTATTCATTAGATACTAGTACTTATTTCAATAGTGACTAGTAACTATTATATTGTTACTAGTAACAAATTTTCAATTTTTGCCATTGACTTCTATGGGGATCCGTCATTGAGATATCAACTATTCAGTTTTGACTAGTATGTATTCCACTAGTGACTAGTACTTAATTTTTATGTACTAGTACTCATTCATTAGGTACTAGTCCTTATTTATTAGAAACTAGTACTCATTCATTAGATACTAGTACCTATTAAATAGATACTAGTACTTATTCAATAGATACTAGTACACATTTATTAGATACTAGCACTTATTCGAAATACCAACAAACAAACCCATTAGGCTACTATGTTTACGAAATTACAGTGTTTACAAACCTGACAAAAATGCGTTTTCTATGTGCTTGTGTACAAATAATTGTTTCTTTTCTATGTGGTTTCCTCAAAAAAGTACATCCATCTCCTTGTTTCCGTTTCCTGTCTAATCTCTCTCCTATATATTGCTGGCTCATTAATATTCAACATACGATTACCATACTGGGCATAAATGCAAATTTAAAAAGTACTAGTATCTATTAGGTTCAGGATATCTCTGGTGTAAAATGTTACTAGTAACTAAAAAATAAGTACTAGTTCTATTTTTTTCTTAACAAGAAGAGTATAATTAAATACTAGTCACTATTGGAATAAGTACTAGTATCTAATGAATAAGTACTAGTAACTTTACAAAAGACACTAGAACCTAAAGAATAAGCACTAGTACCTAATGAATAAGTACTAGTACTTAATGGAAAAGATGCTAGTATCTAAAAAATAAGTACTAGGTCCATGAAAATAGATACTTATAGATTAAATGTTAAAACGGCTTTCCATAGTATGTGTGTGTTTCGGACAGAAAGGATGGAGTGCTCAGGCCGTGTTTGTCACGAGTGGTGGCGATGTGACATTGTCAGACAATCCTAAAATTAAGTAAAATTTATTAATTTATAAAAAATAAAAAGACAGACATACTGATGCGCAGACATAAAAAACGAAGTCACATTTCTAGTTAAAACCAACATTGCATCAAACTTTATCTTAGGTACTTCCTTAACCCTATAAAGACTACTGTATCATATTTTATACATGAATTTCTAAGGCCGTGAAATTATCAACATGATGACAACTTTGCTGAAAAACCTGTTTTATACAATCTACTACAAGCCTGCTGTTGTCTGATTGATAGTTTATAAAAAAGCCTTTTAGTATAATTGTACAAACATCCACCTTGTGGTTCTTTTCACTGTGAAATCTTTTTATAAAGTAAACATAAGAATACATTTCATGTTGTTTGTAATATTTCAAGATGAACATTTACTGGACTAAAGTAACTTAGGTTTACTTGATTATCCATACATTATTTTTTAGAAAGATCATGTTAAATGTGTCAAATACGATCCTATAAGCTTTTGAGGAAGATTTTTTTTCATTAATCTTCATTGTATTGCATTTCATTATATGTTTTGAAACTACAGAGCCTTGATCATAAAATTAAGCATTCTAATAGCATCTTATTAAGACATATTATTGGTAGGTATAGAGTGACAACTGATATTTATATCATTTATGTAATCTGTTATTATATAATTTTGAGTATCTACTATACTGTTATAAATATCTCATTGATTTACAGAATTATCTGAATTGTATCTTGTCCATATAAATATAAATATCAGCATCTGTACCAAATTGCATATTTTTGTTCAGTTTGGGCCTCTGAATAAAATTCTGAGCTCCATATTCTCACTATGTCATACAGTATGAGCCATAAAAGCCTGATTTATCAACAAAAAATATGCAAACTTATTTTTTAGATTTTTAAAAATATTTTGTCTAAAGTTTCAATAAGCTGTTCCATTTGAAATTAGATTTTCCAGCTAATATTTCATATATCGAGCTATACATCAGTGCACATTATTCTAAAGAAGAAAAATGTTGACATCTTTCCATTGTCTGAAATCTGTCATCAACATGTAACAACTTGCTCCGGCCTCTGAAATGACATCAACTACAGCTTGCAACTACTATTGAAATAAATAGGAATGCAGAAAAAAAAAATCAGTGCACATCACAAGACATCTTATTTTTCATATTTTTCCAACATGGTTTTCTTATTGAATGTCTTGCTTCACTCACAATATACCACGCTATGGACATGCAATAGATTTAACTTTATCCATCCGTAAAAATAACTCTTCTCTAATTTAACATGCATTTTCCCATAGGCATTTCTTTATAAAGATCCAAAGAAAATTTTAAGAATCTTCATGCAGCTCTTTTCCATACAATCTCATTCACATTTTCACATATTTTAACTGGAGCTACATTCGTTTTTGATGCACAGCTGCTCATGACAACTTCCAAACTTGGATGCAAATGAGATTTTAAAGATTTGCTAAAATTAAATTTGGGTCTGTTCCTCACATAAGCTGTCATGTGTTCAGAAGAACTGAAATATATAGTACATAAGTCTTATGGACTAGTTACATTATATTTAATGGTGCTTTTTTGTTCATTCTGGAGCTTGACAGACAATGTCCTTGTATAAAAGACAGCTGCATGAATATTCAAAAGCTCTCCTGATTTCACTGCATGCAGGTTTAGAACAATGACATAACATGAACTATTCCTTTTAAGTCTTTGAGTGTGCAGTACAGTATCGGTGTTTTCTTATCACCATCCCTTAAGATGGCTGAAGCTTAGCTGACGTCCAAGAGCTAAAGGCAAGATCTAACGGCAAAGGGAGAGTTTTCATCTTTCTCCCTCCTGTCCCAGATCTGCCCGTTCCTACAGGCCTCCGCTAACTGATCAGCGCCGCCTCTAAAACAATCCCAGTGAATATCGATGCAGTGCACGCTGTCTTTGGGCTATAAAGGTTACTTGTGGACTGAAGACGTTTTACAGGCATGTATCACTACATACCATGACACACACTTTACATTCAATGACCTACTTTTCAAAAGAGGTTTTTCATTAATTTCTCTGCATTTAGCATGGCTATCAAACCAGCTCCGGCTCACAGTGGGGGTGGGTGCGGAGGCCATTGTACTGGCAGCTAAACTGAAGCTGCTTTTTACATTAATGAAATGCACTTTTAAAGGTGAATGTTGTTGATGCATGCACGGCTGGTGATATATCTTGTAAGACACATTCCTGCTACTAAATCTGAAACAGGTTCTGTTGGAAGAGTGAATAATGTTTGGTTTGATTTGATTCAATTTTATTTGAGGTTATGATACATCCCAAAGGATGCATGCATGTTTTCCGTAAGCTAGTTTTTAAATAAAATGACATTTTCAGTGCATGCAAAACGATAATTCACAAAGATTTCCAAAGAACTGCAATAATGCATTGCTTCAAATTCATTGGAGATAAGATACATATCTTGTAAGGATAGCTAAAAAATATGTTTACTTTATTTGAGGCTTTGCATTATGGTATATCCCTAGGATCTTAAAATAATGCATGCATGCTTAAAAGCTTGTTTGTAAATCAAATGAAGCATAGGCCTACTTATGATGGCGAATGTTTCAATGCACGCAAAACCACATTCACAAAGATTTCCAAAGAACTGCAGTGATGCATTGCTTCATATTCACTAAGGAGGCAAGATATTGTACAAAAATGTATAGGATTTTTTATTTATTTATTTAAGGCTATGCTTTAGGGCATATTCCTAGGATCTTAAAATAATGCATGCATGTTTAAAAGCTGTCTGTGGAGTTGTTTTGAAATAAACTGAAACATACTTATAGTGAATGTTTCCAGTGCATGCAAAATCACAATTCACAAAGATTTCCAAGGAACTGCAAAGATGCATTGCTTCATATTCACTGGAGATAATGTAATGCCTAAGAATTATGTTTATTTTATCTAAGGCTATGCATTACGGTATAACCCTAGGATCTAAATGAATGCATGCATGTTTAAAAGCTTCCCATACAATTGTGAAATGAAAAAAAAAATGCACTGAAATCATTCACCATCCTAACTACATACAAATCACCAGTCACAAAGATGCTCCATTCATTTAGAACATAACATTGCAGCAGTATAAGACTGAAGAATTTAATTCAATAAATTATAATATGCAATTAAAGTAGGCAGGTTATGGTTATGCCCAGGAACAATGCATCATATTCTGTTTAAATTAGGCATGTTTTATAATGCATGCATTCTTGATAGCTTTCCACAAGATAACAAATGAATCCAGTGTAACCTATAGAGCTCCAAAGGTGACCCACAAAGAAACACATTAAAGTGGGCCTGAGCACATCATACACAGAAACCAGAGGTGACAGTAATCCAACATCTGATGGAACGGTATTGACATAACTGGACCACATATAACTTGATCGTTTCAGCGTTGAAATGCCATTATATGAATCTGAGTCGCTGTCATTTCATGCCCTCATATTTTTTGTCGCTTTAATCGCGCGCGTTTTCAGCCCATCTTTTTGTTGATTTGTACTCACAGTGATGCGAGGGATGTTCTTCTTGCCCTGGTATCCGGACATCGCTGCGCTGATGGCTGGAGATCCGCACGCGTAATGATTCCCGATGCGCGTTTGGAGAAGTGACGCCCCGCAGCTCAATGACACTCGCCGCCGTCGGCACAAAACAAACCGGACGCGATGGAGGAAGGTTTCCAGACAATCCTGCAGAGATTCTGAAGGTGGACGATGAAATGTTTCAGGTGACGGGCTCTTCTCTCTTGTTCCGGCGCAGCGGCAGGACGCTCCAGACAGCCACTGACGGAGATTTACACGGCCAAAGCCACCGTGCATGCGCAACACCCCACCCTGATCCACACACACACACACACACACACACACACACAATTATTTCCATACACACACACACACACACACACACACACACACATCTTCATACATGCAGGACAAGATTGATTAGATAAAATGTTAGGGAAGCAATTACATTTCTATTGATTTCTATTTTACATCTATTTTATAGAATTACAAAATTATTTTGATTAATATTTTGGCGAAGCACAAATGCAAAAGTTAAATTTTCTGTATAATATGACAAAATTAAAAAAAGCTATTTATATGACTGTTGATAGTATTCTGAGGTCTCTCTTTTGAATAATATACATTTTGTATAATAATATACAAATAATTTTGCAGTTCAAATAAACAATTCATATTAATTAAAGCTGCAGTACGTAACTTTTTTTGGTTAAAAATGATCCGAAATCAATATTTGAGCAAGTACATAACCAGCCAGTGTTCAAAACTATCGCCTTACTTTAGCCCGAATCACAACGGTTAGCTTATAATAATGTTTTTTCATTTGAGTGGTACTGGTAGGAATTCGAGGGAAATTCGAGCATGGCACTGCGTCATTACAACACGTCTGTAAACATGAAGTTGTCCTGGTCGGTATGCTATATAGCAGGTGGCGGATCGTTTATAACCTTTTCTCACAGCAGCTGGAATAATTAAATTGATCATTCTGATTGTAATCCAGAAAGGATTATGCGTTTATGAAACACATATGTGACTGAAATTAGATTATATTCCAGTTTTAAATGTGCATCTGATTATAGATAGCATACCTGGGATTACACAAGTTTTGTATTTCAAAGAAAACCAGTTCGAAGGAAGAATAATTTGCCTTTTGGGTTAAAAGAATTTCTTTATATGAAATTCGAATGGTATGACAATTAGAGATTAGACTGTACAGAAATTGAAATCTACACGCTAATACAAACTATACACATAGTCACGCAATGCTGATGTTGTTAACATGAACAATTTGAGAAAAAAGTATAACAATAATAATAATTTGCATGGTTTGATGTGATAAGAGCTAACCGATCTTTAGATTTAATCACCATTAGCGCGATTTATTGTAATGCTTTTTTCCTCAGTTGGTCAGAACAAATGTGGCAGAATTGTTACTTGTTCAGATGACAATATTCGGTGAAAATGCTTATTTGGGTCATATATTCCAAGACGTAGGCTAGAATCTGTGATTCCGAAGTACACTGTA